TGTGGGATTGACCGTCACATTATAACGCCCCCACGGCTGGAAGGGCAGGCTTGTTTGATGTGACGGGGATTCGAACCCGCGACCCTCAGATTGCGAGTCGAGTGCCGTAACCACCTGGCCATGGTAGATTTATGTCACTGCATATATTAAATGCTATGTTGAAATACTTGATAATGTGCCGATTTTTTGTTGTGTGGAGTGGGCTAAGTCCCACTTTATATAGTTGCTGTCGTTACATGGCTTGTGATAGATTTTGGTGTTGAAACCATTAGTGCTTCTTTCTAATGCTATGTTCATGTAATTTAAAACTTGGTTTTCATTTTCTTTTTCGTAACTGAACTTGATGTTATTATGGATGTTGTTTATGTGTTGTAGAAATGATTGTTGATGGTCGTTATTTTTGAAGCTACAAAATACATCGTCGACGTATATAAACCAGTATGTGGGAGGGTTTAGAGCTGTATTGATGACCAGACTTTCTATTTTGGTAATGAACAATTCGCACAATCCAGGCAATAAGGGGCTTCCCATGCTTGGTCCATCAATTTATTCATATATTTTACCTGTAAAGGTAAAATATATTTTTAATGCAAAGTGAAAGAAAGTTTTCAAAATTTCTAAATTCAGGTTGTAATTCTATATTTCAGAATTTTTTGATAACAATTCTAGAGCTAGGTTTGTTGCTTCCTCTATTGATATCATAGTATACATGGAGACTACGTCGAAACTGTACATTTTGTGGTGATTGTTTAGGTTTTTAAGATTTTTTTAAAAATCTAGAACACTTTTGATTTTGCAATTGTTGTTGTTGTGTAATGGTTTGATGAAAAAGAAAAATATAAAAATCGCTCAAGCTCATGATTATAACTGGCATAAGTTGAAAGTATATGGCGGATGTCAATTGGGTTTTTATGAATTTTTGGAACACCAAACAAACAAGGGGTACGTATATTGGTTACTCTTAAGATGTTGTACATGTCTTCGGTTATATCATTCTTCTTTTTTTAACTTTAAAAGTAGGATATTCAGTTGTTTTCCATAACATTCATTAAGTTTTGTGGTTAGTTCTCTAAATTTGGTTGAATCATTTAGATGTTGTTCCATTAAGTTGTTGTAATCTTCTATTTCCATAATTACCGTTTATCCACCTTACGATAATAATTTGTGGGTTATTTATTAGTTCTTTAAGGGCTGATAGTTGGCGTTTCGTGATGTTTTGTTTAATCTTATGGTTTTTCTGTAAATACCCTTGGATTCCTCACGAAATTTCTTGAGTGAAATCATATAAGTTTTGGTTGTCTTTGGGTATTTTAGGGAACCACATTCTGTTATTTTTTTTCCTTTGAAATATCTTCATGCTCTCGTCGTCCGTTTTCATTTCTTGATGATCGATATCTGTTTCATTAATTTCGGTGGATGTGTGACTTTTATTTGTTGAATTAGTTCTTTGTTTATCTCTGATTAATTGTTGCACTAATCTTCTATTCCAGTTTTGATTCCTGAGGCGGGAACATTTTTGTGTGTCATTGCATATTGTTACGACATCGAGGTCAAGTGACTAGTATCACGCCACGTCGTTCTCGAACATTCACATCCTTTCCTTAAATCTCGTGATCCTTCTAGATAAAATGTAATCTTGTATATATAAGACCGGCCACGAAGCGACGGGGAGATGAGTAATTGAATGTATGCTGACAGAGAGAATATTGTTGGGCACGTGAGATAATAACAGAAAGCAGTATATCTGGCAACGAGCTTGAAGGGACAACCACTGGAAATACTTGTACAGT